GGGCTCTGTGTGTTAAGAATAATCTTTTTGGAGATTTAATTAGAAAGTGAAATATGTCCAATTCTTTTATTCCATTTTCGAGTGATGATAAAGCAGCTGAGCTACTGCATATGTTGTAAACTCTTACGAGGATTAATGCTACTGCAACAAGTTTTTTATCACATCAACGATACTATTTTTCTCACGCCCATGACATATGCACAAAGCAAAGGTATGGATGCTGGAGTCTGTACATCCAATCAAATAGAAATCCTTAATGTGTACGAAATGCGATGTGGAAACTGCAATAGCAAATAGTTTTTATTACAGAGCTGTTCTTCCACTGCCTTAATCTCCCCAGAGCTATAAAGCGGAGGAGTAGTTATATTTTACAAAAGTGTATATACACGCGCAGGCGGATGTGGAATAAGCATGCAGATGCTTTTATAAACCACAGAACGCGCTTCCTCCTTGGCAGTCTTACTATGCTTTTTATTTTTAACACCAAATAAATACAAAACAATCCAATAAAAAACAAACAGCAGTAAATCTGAGAAATCGGTCGCTTTTAAAAGCAATACTATTAACTAAGTTTAGGCCCCAAATAAATGAATTTGGGAGTGAAAAACCTGCCCAGGTCTGCAGTACAGATGGCTTTGTATAAATGACTCAGTATTTCAAGCAGGATTTGGGAATGTTGGGCCTGAAAGGACAGGTTTTTGGAAGGTAAGAAGAGGCACTTAGATCTCAAAGGTTCTTCATGAGCACTAGGAGTTTAAAACTACTTTATGGGCTTTTGGAAGTGTGTTCCTGAGATACGTCCTCCACTGATGATGGAGGAAGCCAGGAGAAAGCAGTCCGTTGCGTGTCTCGGTGAAGAGCCTGGAGCTAGGTGGACAAATCTGGTCGTAACAGCGAGGGTGCAGCATCAATAAACACCTTCCCTTGCTAAAGCATACAGCTTTTCCAAAAATCCCTCTGCTTTTGCAAGGAATGGCCAGGCTCTCGCTGCTTTGAAGCTATTCTACACGTCCAGCGTAGCCCCCCTTTTCTGTTTTTAATTTTATAATCTTTGCCTTACCAGCTTTCTCATTCCTCCTCAGTGAACCACACACACACAAAGTAAATGGAGGACAGGCAGGAAATTGGATCTGGTAACTGGGAAGCAGCAGTGGGAAGAAAAAGAGTATCTTAATATCTGAGGCCATTGTTTCAATGTTTTTGCAGTTTTCTCAGGCAAAGGACTGGGCCATAAAATGCTGAGAGGGTCACACAGAGAAATGTCGGCGTCTGCACACAGTTTCACCCTGACCTTGTAAATATACACTCTATTTATTTACTCTGCAGTTCATATCTCCTATAAGATTCCAACTCCCAATTTTACAGAACGAGAATCCCCTCAAAAGGATTCCAAACCCAGTTAAAAATAAAATTTAAAAAATAGATATTAAAAATACATCCTTGCTTCTCCATGAAGGGAAGGTGGTTTCTGGTCTCTCTGAATCAAGAAATTCTCTCTCCCTCCCTGGGGTCACACTCTGGAAAGCGTTTAGCTCTGCTGCTCCGGGGTCTCGCTTTGCAGAGCAGGATGATGTCCATGAGCTAAAATTTCTGCAGGAATTTGAGAACCAGGTCACGCAGTTTCACCCTCAAAGGTTCATCGTTGTCGCAGATGATGTGCGTGGAGTCCTCCTCAATCTGAATGAGGGTTTCTGCCTCCTGGAGGAGTACGATGTGGCCCTTGGCTGTGTCCTCCACCTTCACGTCACTGAAACCGTGCTAGATGTAGTGTTGGGGAGAGAGATGTTACTACAACTCGGGAAAACAGGTAGAGATGAAAGACTAGGGCACAGGGAGGGAGGAGAGGGGAGAACGGCTACAAAATAAGAGAGTGGCATTGCAGATATCCTAGATCTCTGGGATAAACAGAGGAAACACCCACAGGATAAGCCAAATATGACCCTCATTATACAGATGGATCAACTATAGAAAAGGGAGGCTAAAGCCAGTATTCTCCCTACACCAAGTCACTGCAATTGCAAAATCTTGAGACAAAGAGGATGAAGGGCTCCTTTAACTACACAAATGACCATCCGCTGACATTACTGCCTCAAAGAAGATGTAACAAACTTCCTCACAGACCATCCTGCCCTTTTCCCTACCCATTTTCTCCAAGGAGGCATGCAGGCGAGAACAGCGCTCCCCAGAGAAGAAAACAACTGCCTGCAAGTTTAGCTACCAAGTCCTGTCCTGCAGCTCCCCAGAAAGCTTCTCCATCAGTGGAGACATTTCCATGATCTTTTCTTCACTCGGTCACCTCATTTTCACAAAACTTGCAGGAACTTAAATACTTTTGAGCCTCCTCCCCACTGTTTAAATTTATTGGAAATCAGCAGATGAATCTCAAAGTTACATGGGGGAAATTTACCCACCCAGCGTGACCCCAAGAGCTCCACTTCCATGGGAAACTGGGAGGAAATGACTGACACGAAGCCCCTAGATCAGGACATCCCTCCACAGAGTACTAACTATTCCATCCATACTCAGTGCAGGGACACACGTTCCCCAAAGTACTTTGCAACTCATTAGCCCCCCTCCATTTCAAGCCACACTAAAATGATTTAAATTATAATAATAAAATTGTTTTCCCTCTGCTAGCAAAGCAGCACATTTCTGAGATTAGCAGAAATCAGCTCGAACCTTGCTTGCCACCAAAGACTTACTACCTTCTCGAGCGTCTGCACAAACTGGTCCACAGGGATGGAGCCGCTCAGCAATGGCTTCAATGGTTTACACTCCGGCACGTCGTCACTCACTCGCTTTCTCTTCTTGCTGGTGGGAGGTTGCGGAGGTTTTGGTGGGAGCTAATGGATGAGAAGGTGCACAGTAATGCAGTGAATCACATCCGCTTATTATAATTTAGTTGGAATAACAAGCACATGAGATGATAGAAACGGAGTAGCAATTTTGATTTCTGTGACTAACGGGGAACAGTGCAGTGCTGAAGGGGAGAGGAGAAACCCAGCCTCGGGCTCCGCTGCAGCTCTGCACGCACAAGCACATTTCCATTACCTTAAAATTTCTGTCAAATTCGGTTCTGTTCAAATTTCTGTCATCTTAAAAGGCCCGCCTGCCTCAATTCAAGACTGAAGCTTTCTATTTTAGCATTCAAGTACCTTGCAATATTTTCTAGGAATCATGCCTTAAAGAAGCCAATGCCTTAAAAAATGACACTCTAAAAGATGCAACAGGTTGGGAAACAGGCAAATTCAGAGCAAGTAACTACTCAGGAAATGAGAAAAATGAGTAATTTATTTTTCACTGGCCTCAGAAAAGTGAGTCTTTAGGAAGAACTTGAATACAGACAAGGAAGCGAGAGAGATGCTGCAGTGCCTGAAAAATCACTGGAGTGTGATCTGGGTATAATTTTGTGCTGCTTCAGAAAGCTGTCTGCCTTAACTCATCCCCGAGACCCTCCTGCCAGCAGGGAGGGGGAGGTAGGGTTAGAACCTGCAGCGGTACCTAACCTTGCCCTGAGCAAGGCAAGGCATGGAGTTAACCGACCACTTCTGAAAGACTGTTTCGTGGAGATAAAAACCAGATTCCTTTAAAAAGAACGGTGAGGAAAGTGTTGTGTAAAATAAGCCTGTGTGTCCTGTGCCAAGTTAGTTAGGTCGAGGAAGTGTCAGCACCAGTCCTTCCCAGTGAACTAGGAAAGTCCCTGGCAAAAAGGTGGTTGGGAAAATTTCGCCAAAATTTTGGCAAGACCGTTCGCCAGGGATGCGTCTGCACAACACAAAGGGAATTTGCATGAAGCAACCCCAGCGCCTTGTAGCACCCTGCACACTCCAGGGGACGGACCGGGCTCCGCTCAACTTTGTGTCTTTCCCGTCACGTAGCATCGTGTCTGAACCTGCTGCTGCGATGTCCCTGTGTTTCTTTCAGCAGCCAGGGAAGGGTGCTTTTCATCCTTGGGAGAGAAATGCCGCCTGCTCAGGCTCCAGTTCCACAAGCAGTGATGCACTTGAGTCACTTTACAAACCCCATCATTCTCCCTGAAGTTGGTGGGCCTACGTGCTTGTATCGTGTTATTTCTGCATGAATCACTGACGTGGTGGGTCCCAGGCTCAGCCAATACTGACAGATATCACCGTGCTGGCTTACCTCCATCCATATGTGAGGGCTCTGGTATTTTAAGCCTCGGTCTAACTTTATTTGGCATCAGGAATCAGAGTAGAGAAAGGAGTAAATGAAGCAAACAAAGGAGAAAGCAGCCTCAGACCAATTGCATTTTAATATTTCCATTTGTTCTGTGTTGCCTAGTGTTTCTAGGGAACTGACTTGGACAAAGTAAGACAGTCTGTCTGCTGCACACTGATACAAATCCTTAACCGATCTTTATGTCCCTGCATTAAAGACATCACCATACCAAGTGTAGTGGGCCCAGCCCAGCTCTACCACCAAGTGGGAGAGGCAGCATCGTGCAGTGTGGCTTCACAGAGTTCCCAGCACCTCACACATCAAATGAGACAGGTGACTGGGACGCTCGCTGCTGAGCGGGTCCCTCAGACACCATCTGCCTCTGCAGAGAACTGATGCCGGGAATTGCAGTGTCAGCCTAAGGGAGGTGGTAGGAAAAGAGCGTACACTCCTACTTTGTACAAGGATGCACAAGCTACGTCTTTGGGAACAGGACAACCGAAGGAAGACAGTCCCTTCACATGTTTCATTTTTTAGGTCACGTCTCCTCTCTGACCCTCCATTCTAAGTCCATGAGAGGCTGGCTGATGCTGATCCGGGTGTACGGGTTATGGAAGAGACAGTGGTATGATTTGTAGCCTCTCTTCAGGAATAATCTCACTGCCCCTTTTATCTTAGCCAGGCACATGGCCAACGAAAAAAGGGTAGAGAGATTTATTTGCATCCCACTCTCTACTCTAAGTGTAATTCCACACTCGCACATGCCAGGACAAAGCATCTGACAAGGACTCTGCTCCGCTGGGGAAAGAGCTGTTGGCGGGGTTGCCTCATGAGAACAGCTGGGGTCCCAGATGGCAGGAAACCTGGTGTAAGGATATTTTTCTCCCTTTCCCATTATACTGTACCTGCAGCACGTGCTTGTTGTCTTTAGTATGCAACACGGCAGAAACTGTTGCTAAGGAAATACCAGGCTTAATCTCCAAGGGCACAAGCGAATCTGCAAGCTAAAGCAAAAGAAGGATTTTGTTCAGCAAGTGATAATCTCAAAATTTGTATGAATCCAGCTGTGATTTAAATTGGCAGCATGGTATTTTTAAACATGGACTAATGAACTGTAAACACAAACCCACTGATACAACGACAGAGCGCTCCTCTTACCTGCTTAGCCTTCCTTCAAGCTCTTAAAGCTACCGACTCTCACACCGTTGTTATCAGAGCAGTGCGAGGTTTTCAGTAACCAAGGCAAGTCTCAAAAACCATTAACAATTAAAGACAACCCTTGTTTAAAAAGACATCAACTACTTCATTAATAATTTTGATTAGTAAAACTCGTAATGTAATTCGCCATTATTTATTACGTTTGTTATGTCGATGGACAATGGAAAATCAAAGCCAGTTTCCTTTCAGTTCCTTATGCTGCGGCATTCTGGCTGCAGAATAGCTGGGAGAAAAGGGTTTGTGCTTAAAAACCCAAAGGCTCTCTTGCCTGGTTTGAAATTTTTCCTTACAACACTACATAGAAACCCTTCCGCTGCCTTTTATATAATTATTCTCTGAAAGAAATAAGATTTAGTTTTGGCTCCAACTTCAAATTCAATGGCAACCTCCAAAGACCCTCAGCATTGAGGGCGTTGGCAGTGAATGTGGGGTGGGCAGCACTGCACCTGCTGAGACTGTGGAAGTTGGCCAGCTGGGAAGCACCTCTTCCAGGCATGTTTCCAAAGGAATTCTGCAGAAAAGGGTGCTTATAAACACAGAAAATTATTCCCTTATTTTCCAAGGGAGTTCTAGATGACAATACACTGGACACTGGGTGCCCTGGAGTCCCATCCAGGACTGCAGCCAGGATCTAGTCCTAGATAAACAGATACCTTCACACTGCATGGGCCAGCAGCCCGAGCAGTTCCCAAGTATCACTCCCAGCCAGGCACGCTCCTGTCATTCACTGTGGACCTGAAAGTAGGGATCCATGAAGTGTGCTCTGCCTCTGTGAGGAAACCCTGCAGGTGCCTCACAAAACAAAAGCGGGTAAGATTGTTCATGCGTTATACTACTGGATGGAAGGACTTCTCAGTTGTGAAGACAAGTAACACCTAAAGGGACAGAATCTACTCGACTGTTTTTCCCAACAGTTACATCATTAACCTACCCAGACCATCGCCCCATCTCATATAGAAGGAGCCTCTACAAGATGATCTTCATCTGAACTCCATTCCCTTTCATCTTCAAACATGTGGCACCTCCAGTTGGAGCCAGATATTGGGAAGAGCTTAACCTCCAGGTCAAGGAGCTCTTTCGAAACTTCAGGCACCTACTGGAGCGCTTTCATGGAGCAGAACTCTGGAGAACCAGCTATCATCATTGCCCCGCCAGCAAGGCAACACCAGCTCTCTTTAGAGATGCTCCCACAGATGAAAAGCAGGGAGAGCAGCAGAATGGATTTTAGAAAAGCATGGTGCATTTCCATTTTGGAGATAGTGCATCTGAGGCAAAGGAAGATTAAATTCCTTACTAAAGGCCATCTAATGAATTTTCAACAGGAGCCAAACCAGGAGAGGGATGGAGCAGAACAATGGAACCCTGCCATTTCTCAAGAAATGTCAGGTACCAACATTTTACTGCCAACTACTCTGGTCTGCTGTAAATTATGATTATGTAGGTGATCGCGCTATTACCGCAAAGCTCTAATCCTTGTGAATACAGAAGCAACTGACCTTGACTTTAAAAAACACTCACTACTGGCTGAATCCTTTTGCCATCAAAGCACTGAGAAGGCTTTTCTGTTGGTTTCAATGGCAGCAGAGTTCAGCTACTTCTAATAACCTCTGAAAAAAAAAATCTTACCTACCACGATCAAAGTTGCAGGAACGTTTTGAGAGCACCTCCTTGAAATAAAACAGTTGGATAGACGATTGTGTTGGAAACCCAGACATTTTAAGGCTGCATTCAAATCCCCTAATTTTTGCACATATTCAGAGTTGGTGAATCTTAGAAATCAAAATTTCATGGAGCAATTCAGATTGGTCTCTTTCTGGAAGCCTTTCTCAGCCTTTACAGTTTGTTGTTGAAGGCTAAGAGGATGAAAATATAATCATAATCATTGCTTCAGATTTCCCCTGGGACCTAAAAATAGTAATGCTTGCAGCAGTGTGTTACAGTGCACTTTGCAGTGGTCGAAGGCACTTTCCATTCCCACCACCTTCCAGAGGAGGATCAATACAAAATGGGCTCTAATGAAGAATACATGGCAAAATGACAAACACTATACAAAGAAAGATCCTTTAAAAACAGAGAGCTGCTTAGAATCAAAGTCCTCTTCCGTGACAGAACTACTTTGATATTAACATTTATGCAGGCTTTAACAACAGTGTTGGTAATTAGCAACACTTTAATTTTTAACAGTCAAAAAGACAGCAAGACGGACGTTCATTTTTATTTTCTCTAAGATACTGCTTCATCTCACAGCCTTCTCCATGTTGTGGCCAATCCTTTTATTATAGAAGTTCACTGACCCAAACCAAAAAGGTCATTTAATCACATCCAGTAATTCACCCACCAACACCAGACAGCACTGTTACACTCCTTTCGACTGACCTCCTGCACACACAAATCACAGAGGTCTTCCAAAATGCTGGATTAAAGAAACCCTTTTCAGAGAGATAGCAAATCTTGTCTATACTCCAAGCAATGGCAACTCCACCATTTCCTATCAGAAGCTGTTCCAAACTTTAATTTTCCTTGCAGCTAGGAAACCGTGTCTTATTTCAAGGTTGAATTTGTCCAACTTTCAGTTGCTGGATCTTGTTATGCCTTTGTCTGCAAGACTGAAAAGCCCCCCACTATGCAAGAATAAACGTTTCTTCCTTCCAGTCATTATCACAAGACCAATGCCACATGCTGGCACCAGGAAAGTCACGAAAGCAGAGACGCATGGCACTGAGCACTAACATCACATTAATCAGTCCCCCACCTACGGATGAGCACTTGGACTGCCTTAAGACAAACTTGTGTGTGTATATGTACTGGGTATTTCATTTTTTTAAACCCCCTCCTGTTAAGGAAAGTTTAAAACAGAGACCAACCAAAAAACAAAAGTCATTGACTCTCAGCAGTCTGAAACTGCAAGTGTTGTCATGAACCTTGTAACAGTTGAGGGAGAGAAGAGTCAGCTTGGGAAGTTCTGCTCCTGTGATCAGAGCTGTCCACCTATGCTCTTACAGAGTAAAGACATTTTTACCGTAAACTGCAGTTGAATCTTTTGTGTAGGATTGCATTTTCCACAAGAAAATAAGATCTGACACATACTACGTTAGCCCTAATGCCGTTGTGTTGGTTTTGCGTGGCAAGGTTT